AACAAATTAACAAAAGTACGTCCAGTAAAACATTACATCATTCAAAGAACATTCACACAGAAGTATTCTGTGCACAATAACACTTAAATTTTGTGTATACAGATGTATATGTCAGATGTATACAGACATGTACTCAAACTGGAAACAAAAGTACGTCCAGTAAAACATTACATCATCCAAAGAACATTCACACAGAAGTATTCTGTGCACATTAACAGTGCACAATAACACTTAAAATCCAGATTTTTTCAAATTATATATCCATATTTTAACACAAATAAATTTTGTTATGTAGCCAAATGCTGCTGTAGAATATGTTTTTACATTTAACTTAGATTTCTGTAGTGTTTGATGGAAGAAAAACCTAAAAGAGACCAAGAACTGTGAGACAAAAATTAGAAGAAAGAGACAAGAAATTAAAGGAAGACCCCCGAACAAAACTTTAAAAAATTAAGATTAAGAGAAAAGAATTTAAGAGAGAAATTACAAAAAGCAAACCTGAAGTAATACAAAGAGACATTATGAAGTGCAGAAGAATTATAATGACAAACTTGAAGAAGGACAAAGAGATCTTAATACCATACTCAAAGCAGTACAAAATGACATGAATGAATTAAAAATGAAATACAAAAGAAAATGAAGGTCAAGATAAAATAACTCGAAATTGAAATGACAAGTGCACAGGACAAACCAACTATGCCTATGTCTGCATCTTTAACCTCAAACATCATTAACAATGAAATACTGAATGGGAGAACACACTTGGTCTACACCTGTTACCACAACTGCTGTGTCACTTATGATCACAGGACTTTCCTGGACCATTCCAACTATGCAAATGCCTAATCCAGTTCCTGAATTTAGTTACAAAGTTCAACAACACCCAACTGAGAAAACAGAATATGATGAAAAGGTTCCAAAGTGAATGGGTGAAATAGTGAACAACAAACCTTTCATCTTGCTGGCCATTTAAAGACTATTCTTAAAGACATTAAACAACTATCAAGCTTTGTTGGCTGTCTTATCAAACAAGTTTGGTGCAAAACACTAGAAGAAATTTCCAGAACAAATTTTAGGAGCAGAGTAAGGAGGAAGGGCTGGACTTTAGCTAAACTTGGGGGAAGATTTGGAAAGGCTTGTAAACTATTTTACCTATACACTCCACTCCTCCAGATGAAATTATGAGTTCATTGGAATGTGACTAATCCCTAAGTACCACAGTAGGAGGCAGCATGTTCATGCTTTGAACTCATAATTGGATGGTTGTGAGTTCAAGGTTGGCCTGCACCATGCTGTAGTGTCCTTGAGCAAGACACTTGTTCCAGTCCACCCAGCTGTATGATGAGTACCTAGCTGTTAGTTGGGGGTTAACATGAGATGGACTGGCATCCTGTCCAAGGTGAATGAGTGACTATTCTCATCCCCTTGTGCCATTAGAACTGGAGTTCGAAAACACTGGCCTTATGCACCTTAGGCATAGAAAGGGTTTAACTTTAACAGTGGATGAGGAGACACAAGTTAGGCAAAGCAAAATAGATGCACATGTTTAAAAGAAACTGTCCAATTAGTGATCGAACTTGGAATCAATTATAGATGCAGATAAAGAACTATAAGTACTATTCAGGAATTATGAGATCATCAATTCAAATTGTTTAGAAACATCTACTCCTTGTGATTGAAGTCTAGAAATTAAGATATTAATTAGTCAACTGTTTAATAAGAATGGAAGACAATAGGTGTTTCAAGTATTACTTAAACGAGCATACTGCTAGAAACTGTGATGAATCAGATGTTTATAATGAACTAAGAACATGAAATGTTGCATATGAGAATACTCCATCTGTCCCATTATAAATAAGGAGTGTATTATCCAAATAAACCAGTCCATGGGTCAACAGGTTTACTGATAGGAAGCCTTGCAGTATGTTGATCGACACTATGGCAACAGTTATTTGACCCAATCTGGTAATTAAAGGTAAATAATTGTCTCCAGAAGAAGCAAGAAGATGGATTCACATAAACAGCAAGTTATCATAATGTTCCAGCAAGAGGAAAATTGGAAGTCACTCTCACTGTGGGAAACCACAACATGATGTATAGATAATTGGTGTGGGTAGTTGACACTAAGGAAGAGCGCCATCAGGCAGAAACACAGATGTCAAGTTAAACTAGTTTCAAGTTATTTTATAGTTTATGAACATGAAATCCTCATGCACTATACAACACTTTCACCACCAGAGATTGGGATTCAAGTAGTAACAAGGATGAGCACAGATGGTTAAGAAGACAGCCAGCCTGGAGTACAACAGTAAAGAATACAGAAGGAGTTCCAAGCCAAGGGTCATCCCTCATGATTGTATTTGGAAGAATATCAATAACAGAACAGCCAACTGCTTAACTTCAACAAAAACTTTGCCCGAGATAAAGGAAAGTGCTGGAGAACCAAAGATTTTCTATTGATACCACCAAGGATACTCAACAATCTATTTGGAGAGAAGCATGTGACAATAATGAGCAAGAGATCATCCCTTTAGACACAATAAATCAGTAAAGAAAGAAATACTGCCTTGTTATCAAAATTAATATTGTACTTAATGTTCTGTATATTTCAATATTGATTCAATAACTATAATGTTAAGTGCTTATTATTAACATTGTTAATTGTAAAGAATGGTTTTGTTACTGATTTTGAAATTTTAAGTTTAGTATACTATTGTTTTATTCATGTATTATGAAAGTTCAGGGAAGGAGCAGTGTTGTAGGCTAGATTTTTAATATTTTATTATACATGTTTTGAGTTTTTTGCTGGAGGTAGTTTTAGCATGGCATAGTAATTGATGCTTAAAAATTTCCTGAGTGACTGATTCGACATGACATCTCAAATATTCTGAAGATTAGAAAAATATTTGTAATAATATAAAAACACAAGGTTAGTTAACGAGTCTGTTACAGTGTTTTCAATCATTAATGAGTTAGCAAGTACATTTGTCAGCTAGTTTTGAGAGGTAATTTAACAAGTGAATGATTTGTTTTATTTGGAAATTAGGTCTATCATTTTGTAAACTTGTTGAACTTGTGTTAGAAGAAATAAATGCTTTCCCTTTCATTAACTGGATTGAACTTTACATTATTCATATTGAACAACAGAAACAAACCTGTACAATAATAAAAACTGTTAGAACAAACTGTAAAAAATTAGTGTATAGTGTATGTATCTATGTTCTTAAATGAAACACCAGATATAAAATGGAATAAATTTCTTACCTCATCATACATAAACTGTAGCGTTAAGGCAGACTTTCCAACTCCTCCACTTCCTACCATAATAACCTTATGGAGTGCTGGTTGAGCATTCTTTGTCTTTGACATTGTGGCCTCTTCAGTGCCCCCACTGACAAAGCAACACAAGACTGCTGTCATTTTGTAGAAATCTGATAAGGTATTATTTTTAAGTGAATGACGATTCAAAGAGGTCTTTGAAATTTGTTAATCAATATATAAATATGAATAAATAATACCTCAAACTTCACTGTCAGAAAGTCTGATAGTTCTATTTTTAAATTTCAGGCCAACCTCAATTATACAAAGATTGGATAACTTAGATGTCAACAGAATTTTAATGAACCAGAAAAACTTTGTAATATGTAAACTTTTAAGTAAAATAGTGAAAGTGCAATGGAAATATTCCAGTGTAAATTGAAAACAAATGCTTAATTTCAAGAAAATTCAAATAGTTCAAAAAGTTTTTTTTAAATCGTTCCTGTAGTATTGCATACGTAACATTTTATTCTATTGATGGTTTAGATAACATACACTTTAATGAATCTTAATTTTACGAACTGCATCTGTCTCATTGTCAACTTTTCTGTCTCAGTCCTAAAATGGTGAAATTGCACAATTTCATTTTACATAATTCTAAAACCGATAGTGCTTCCTTCAGGTAATGCCACATACGTGACTATACAGTTCAGAGATAGTGCTTCCTTCAGGTAATGCCACATACGTGACTATACAGTTCAGAGATAGTGCTTCCTTCAGGTAATGCCACATACGTGCCTATACAGTTCAGAGATAGTGCTTTCTTCACGTAATGCCACATACGTGACTATATACGTGTTTATGTCTTTTATTCTTTAAAGGTTACATTGTAAAACATTTTTAATATTGTTTTTTTTTGAGATAGTGCTTCCTTCAGGTAATGCCACATACGTGACTATACAGTTCAGAGATAGTGCTTTCTTCACGTAATGCCACATACATGACTATATACGTGTTTATGTCTTTTATTCTTTAATGGTTACATTGTAAAACATTTTTTAATATTGTTTTTTTTTGTTAGCGAGTTTTCTTAAATTATCTGGTGATAATAATTCAAAGTCAAGTCTACGTAAATCATACTAAATCAGCTAATTTCTCCTTTGGTGTTTCTAAAAGCTTGATCACTTGAACATAATTATAACTTCTTGTAGTCCTACATTTATTTACAAATGATGTTAACTGCTCTACACTGACTAAGGAAAAACTTACTTGTACAAAGAAACGCAATATGCGTAATAGTTAACAAGGGTCCAAATAGTTAAAAACAAAGAAAACACATTGACCGATTCACTCTACTGAATAGAAACAATTATCTTTCTCTCTTCTTAATTAACTTTTAACTATCCCAAAACTTTGCTGACCCAGTATTTATAACGTACCCTCAAATATACGAGAAAACCCGACATCCAACCTTTAGAACTTTCTAGGTCTAATTCAATATCATCATTATGACCTTCAGCTAACATCTAAATTACAACATTAAAAATATAGCATATAACACTGCCACCTTCCTTAAACAATCTTAATAAGAAAAACAATAAAATATACTACATTAAACTGCCCATTCCATACATTTCTGAGGCCCATGGTAAGAATATCCCTTATCATCACTGGCAGACTCATCAGTGGAATTCTTCCTGGATAGGTGGTCAAGTGAATGTACTGGTAGCTCCATCCTTGATGATCATCTGGAGGTAGTCTGGACAAGAACTCCAGGCTCCTCGACTAGTTGAGGTTATGGTGACAACAGTTCTTCTCTGAAGTTACCCAGTTGGCTGTTCTCTCACTGATATAATTCCAAACATGACTACAATGGAGGACCTTTGGCTTGGATTGCTTATCCTCTAAATACCTACTTACCATTGGAGTTTATCCTCTCTTGTGATATGTTCAGCCATACCATGTCACCTCAATGAAATCCAATTTTACTAGTGTGTACATCAAAGCTATCTTTTGTTTTATCACAAGCTGACTTAAGTCTTCTCTGAGTAAAGTCATGAGAGCTTTTCCATTCACCAGTTTATCAGGATATACCCGAGTATTTCACTACTTGGTGATGCAATAACCAACATCCTTGTTTCTATTGAAGTTCTACCTCCAGTGTAGTAATTGCCATTTCGTGCATAGGGATTTCCTGGTCATAGACTGTGAAGCTATCTGAAAATGGTCCAGCGTCACATTCATATCTCTATATGAAATCGGCTCCCAATATACACTGTTCCTCAATATTAATTACCCACACATCACGAGATAGTGTAACTTCCAACTGTAAGAGTAACTTTTCAACTTCCCTTCTACTGAAAAGCTTTGTCCACCTCAATCCATCTTCCTTCTTCATCCATGGAGGCAATTTCCATCTTTCATTAACAAATTGGGTAAAACAATTGTAACAGTGGAACCACTGTCAATCAGCATACTGCAAGGTTTTCCATCAATTAGCCCACGGACTCAAGGATAGTTTTTTTTTCAATTTGAGATAGATGGAGTATTCCCAACTGAACTTTGATTCATAAATCAAACTAATTCTTGATTTTTTGATGTTGTATTAGTTCTGTGTTTCAGCTGTTGATTTTTTACAGGATCTAATGGCAAGATTTCTCACATCTATAACAGTTTCCTCTTTCTGGTATTCTTTGAAAGAAGTTCTTATTCCATGAGGCCTTTGATAACATGTCTCTTCAAGTTACACTTAAAGCATCTATTGTCCTGTG